AAGAAGAATCTATGGTTGTTGCTTGCTGACTTGGTCGTGTAAGAGAGAAATGGAACATTTAGAAAAGAAAGTGGGCGAATAGTCCGTAAATTAATCCGTGTTTTTTTTTTCCAATTGATTCCTATTTTTAGATGATTTTATGGAGAGCACGTATTTTCCTTTTAATGTAACAAACCGTGTTTTGATGATCTTTTCTAAAACGTTATATATCAATAAAAAAGAGTAGAGAAACACGTATTCAAACATCAACTTCAAATGCCTAACCAGAGGCAAAAGCTTTTACATACGTTTAACCGTACCGGACCCATCCGAGTCATGGCCTGGATAGCGGGTCGATCGGATCAGAGAACCAATGCTTAGCCTTCATTTTCAAAATGGCACTAGCTGGGTTAAGTCCTTTAGGACAAGTTGCCGTACAGTTCTTGATTGCTCTGCATCTATATACTTTGGTTTCATTCTCTGTTAATGCCTGTAATCTCTCTTCTCTAAACTCATCGCGGCTGTCGCTGATCCAACGGTACGCTTGTATCAAAGCTGCGGGTCCTGGAAACTCCTCGGGGTTCCACCAATATGAAGGACAAGAAGTGGTACAACACGCGCATAGTATGCATTCATACAATCCGTCTAGTTTCTTCCGGTCATTAGGTGATTGACGGTGTTCGCGTCCATCTTTCGGCGGCTTCTTTGTCTTTAACCATGGCTCCACCGATCTATAAACACAACACAAATATCCCACATGTTTCAAGTCTATGTAGAGGAAAAATAAGTATATTGACTATATATGATTGGTAACACACGGTCTATATATGACTTTTTTGATCTAACTAATCACACAAATATTCAAAATAACAATTTATGTTCTAACCATTACGCGAATCCGTGATAAAAATCAATCAACATTCTGTAATTTTCGTAACCACAGTAGAAGAAATATAGTCCCACACATGCATTAAGTTTTTAAGCTTAATTGAATCTGCCATATATATACACCATTTTGCACACTTTTTTTCTTCAATATTCAACAATTTTGCATTAAAATATTGAGTATCCTTGTCCAAAGGGAGAAAGTCGAAAGATTTGTAAATCAATAAGGGATTGAAGGAAGTAGCTTTACTTACTTGTATTGTTGGTAAAAATTAGTGAGGTCGATAACTAGGTCTTTGATGACGTACATGTGAGGCAAGGGAGTGATTATAGTGGTCTTCGATGTGTCAGAATTTATAGGTTTAAGGCACGCGACGGTGTTAGTACCGTCGATGTTCATCGAACAAGATCCGCATATACCTTCTCTACATGATCTTCTGTAACTCAAGCTCGGATCATCCTCTGCTTTGATCTTCTGCAACACGTCCAAAACCTATTGCACAACACATCATGTCACTTAAAAGAGTCAAAGCTCTTCAGAATAAAGACTAGTTCTATGGAACTAATTGATCAAGAATTGTATTTAATGACCATAGGACCACAAGTTGAAAGATCGACGAAGAATGATTGTAGAAATGGTTTAGTGTTTGGCTTGTCAGGATTCCATCTGTAAATCTTGAACTCCTTTTTCACCACTTTGTGTTGGCCTGTTGGAAAATCAGTAGATATCATCATCGACGTAATTCGATAAAAAAATTGTACCTTCTTGCTTTATTCATATACCTTCTTGGTATGTTGTAGTTTCATGGGATTTTAGAGTATCTTTCGATAAGTCTTGAGCCGCTTTATGACCTTTTAAGATCGGAAAATCTCCGTCGCCGCCGCTTAGACTGCTGCTTAAACGTACTTTCTCCGCTGCTGGATTGCAGATTCTCCGCTTCAGCAACCGCAGCATCTCTCTTCGGTGGGTCAAAAGCTTGTTTCAAGCGTTTGGAATTCAGTTTTGGTCATTCTTTTGTGAAGAAATGAGAGGAAAAAATGCATGGCGGTGACACGTGGATGGTCTCGAGGATGTAACTCAATGGCACGTGTACGATGACGTGTTCGGAGACAATCTTTGATTACGCCGTCTACTTATGCGGCCCATATAAAGCCCATTTATAAGAAAAGCCCAGTGTTTCTCTTACTTTCGGGCTTCGAAGATCGGGTTTTTAATCGGGTCGGGTCGAGATGTGGTCCCTTTAGTTCTAAAACCCGTTTCTTAAGGAACTTGACAAAACAGTCGTTGTTTGTTTGAAAGATGGGAGAAATGTCAATTGCATTGGATCTTGAGCTTCTTCTTAGTATAAAACAGAAAATGTCAATGGTCCTAATTTCTGAAGGAATAGATAAATGCCACGTGGCATTTGGCATGTCTCTTTGTCTGAAGCAGGACCACCCTTTGACCAAACCCACACCCTTCGTCGTGGAAAAACTCTTTTGTTGAATGCTGCTGCATGTTTTGAATCGTACCTATGGTATCTTCGAATGTTTAAATTAATATGGGCGTTATTCGACATTTGTAGCTGTTATTTTTATTTGTATTTTTGATAACTCAAAGTAAAATCTAGGTCTATGGAGAGGTCTACACTAATGGTGCAGTCCCATAGATTAGTCTATATCAAATTTGAAATAACCACATTTGTAATTGTTATTTCTGTATCAGAATATCAATAAAAACACTATTTTTCTATTTTTGGAATCAACTTTATCTCAAATTTGAAACATTTCAACATGCGGTTTTGGATTGTATATGTTCATCCTCTTATCAAAACATAACTAATTAAATTAAGATTGAATTGCGTTTTCGAATCGTCTCAAAATGCGGTTGAATTGTCTATGTTCAAGTTGTTTATCGCGTTCTTAAAACTTAAAAGTCTACTTTGCTCAGAAAATTGTAGAAGACAATTACAGGTTTAGATGAAAACATAAGTCAAACAGAAAATCAAATTGAGTAAAAGATAAATCTTGTTCTGTTTTTCTCAGTGGTGTCTCGTCGCTTTGCAACAATCAGAAAAGGTAATAGATGACTTGTTGGGATTTGGTAAACCCCAATTACTGAAATACTGAGCTTGGTTTATCTTTTAATATTTTATTTATCTTAAGAAAAACAATTAGTTAACATAAAATAACGTTTAAAGGGGGTGAACAAAATCTGAAGTCATTTGGTTATAAATTGCTTTTTAAAACAACTAATTGAATTGGTCTCACGTTATTTGTTTATTTTTGTTGTTATCAAGACTTAAATTACCTTTCTCGTTTAGCTACTAGCTTGTTGTAGTCGCAACTCGCATAAAATAATTCATATCACGAAAAAAGGTAAAAAAAAAAAAAGATATTGAATGATCTTAATGTACTTTTGATTCTACAAATTTAGATAGTATGATAACAAGTGTTGATTCCCAGCGAGTGATTGGATGTTGAAGAATAAAACCAGTGAGGAAACCAACAAAACCTAAGGGACAAAATAAAAAATATTCTTATAAGTGGAGGGAATATTTTTTGTTTGAAAAAATAGAATTGTTACTTAACTATGGGTAACAGCTTATACATTCTCTTGCAAAGGAAAATAAAAGCATACACTCATATACGTAAACATATTTTTCTCTACAATTTATGTCTCTTGCTAAATCTAGTGATACACCAACATTGCAATACGAATAGTTTTGTTTTGTCAACAACATGCTTAAATCCTGCTAATATCACAAACCAGTAGTTAAGCTACATAGAGAGTCGTTCTTAAGGTTACATAGGCCAGAGGCGAAACTAAAAACATGCTTTGATGTAATATAATTTTTGTAAATAATCATGTTATGTATAAAGTTTTTATGATAAAGGTACTATAATATAAATTTACAAAATCTTAATGCTAAAAACTAATCAATTATGCGTAAAAACTTTACAATTTTTATCTAATTAATCTAATACAATTTTTATTTGATTAATTACAGTTTACTTGTGAATTGTCACGGTTTCTTCTAAATAATGGAAAAATGCTGTATGATTTGATGGGGAATGAGTGACCGAAATTAAAAAAAGATGAAGGTGGTTATAAGACTTGTTAATATCAAAGTAGGCAACTAAACGCATTTATTTTTTATTTTTTAAAGAGGGCCTTGGTTTTCTTTTTTTAATAAAAAAGCCAATTTTTTTTTTTTAGAATAAAGGCCGGAGGCGAAGACCGGTGGCGAAAGCCTCATATTTTCCATATAGGCATGCCCTGTACATATCATAGTAATTGTAATTTTTATAGTTTGTTTCATATTTTTAATATTACAATCCGAAATAATCATGTGCTAGAAAGAAATCAAAATTTGTTTTAAATAAACAATAAAATGTTGGTTAAAAGCTATAAATAAACTAAAACCAGGACATGTGAGGCACCGGTCAGGATCAACTAATGTTTGTGTTAATTAATAATTTTAAGGGGACCATAAAAAGGTAACAGTGTCAGGGTTATGCTAATAAGTGTATTTAAATGGTGATTTTCATAAAGGAAGGGTCTAATCAATCTAATAATATATTTTCTCATTTATCATATGTCACAATATCTTTTATGAAAACTGTCCTACAGCCACCGTG